TTTAGTTTATTTAATTACGGCAAAGCACTCAAAGGCTATCTGCCCAAGGAAAGGGATGCCTTCGTGCAGGACATTCTAAGGAAACTGGCTCATATACACGTTACACATAGAGAAAACCACGAATGCGCTCATACAGCCGTTCGTGGAATTCGGACCGAATTACCAGTGTTCAGCGACTTTACTGCTCGGCCGCTGGTGGGCCTAATATTTATGGAAAGGATAAGGTAAGTTGACGAAGGTATTGACTTAAAACAACAAATTTTGCAAAAAATGCCCTTTTGAAATTCTACCCATCATATACGCATGGTCTAACTTTTTGGAAAGTATATGTTAAGATATTATTTATCACTTATCACTTATCACTTGCTATTCGGTTAAAAAGAAACGTAGTTATTTGATTTCCTCCAACGCCTTTTACTTATCTCAACCATTTAATTGCCTTTATTACAGAACACATTCAACACATCAAGATATATGTGAGATTATCTAAGAAAACTTTTCTATTTTCTTCAAAAATACCGTAACAAATATGAGGCCATCTAATATGCAAATTCGCCTTATATTGAGGTCAGAAAAACATTCCCTTTTCTTTAAGATTGACTGGCAAACAGGAAATGAAATATTTTTGTATATTTCATATTTAGCACGGCATAATTTTCCGATGAGATATTTTTTCCGTACAAGTATTAAATTTTCTTTCGGATTTGGTGTCGGTTTATTTGATTACCGCAAAGCATACTAGGGCTATCTGCCTGAGGGGAAGGATGCATTTAAGGAGGACGTTCTAAGCGAACTGGCTTGTCTACATTTACACTAGCGGAACTTTGAGCCTAAGAAACGCAGGCGAATTTGAAGACTCGTTTGAGAGCTTTTTAACAGCAATTTTTTCGTATTATGAGGGAATATTTAACTCTTAAACTCTTGAATAATGTTATAAGTTAGGCTGTTTATTTAAATGTGTACATATTCAGTTTCAGTTTAAAAAAAAAAAGAGTAACATTTTCGCCATTTAGAGCTAGCAACTTCCGCGTGCATTTCTTAGGCTCAAAGTTCCGCTAGTGTAAATGGGCCTTTACACGCGGGAAAAACCGCGAAAAACACCCATGCAGCCAGCCCGTTTGCCTGGAATCAAACTCATGTTGGGACTACCAATGTTCATCGCTTAGCCGCTGTTCACCGTTTACTGCTTACCGCTGGTGGTCCCTTTTACTTTCCGAGCAGGAAAGACGAAAAATCTGTTATGCATCTGTCGCAATTCAAACCACGGTTAACTTTTAGCTGGACCCGTTACCACGTATGGCAAGCACGAAAGAATGCGATATTTTTTTAAATCCAATGGCACGAGACCTAGTCGACCAAATTTAGGTGGTGATGAATTATCGTCTATCGCATTTCAGTTCCGGAATCATTCTAGAGACCATTAAACATTTAGGATCACGTAATGTGAAATATCAACTATGCCGTCGCTTGGATTCGAAGTAGAGTATCTTCTTTGCCAGTTAAACATGTTAACCATATACATCACAAGAGAACCGCACGAGGGAATGCGATAATTCCCTATAAGCGTTCATCACTGAGTTGAATTAGAGATAATAATACTTATTCTGTGGAAGAACCCATTGAAAAGGTTTTATTTATTTGGTTTATTCTGATTAGGGTAAAGCTCTCGACGGCTATTTCCTAAGAGGAGGAGTGCCTTCGTTGACGGCTTTCTAAGGGAAATGGGCTCGTATGCAAGTTACACATAAGGAAAATCATGAACACACCCATGCAGCCAGCCCGTTTGTCTGGATTAGAACTCTGGACCGAACTACCATTGGAAAGGTGTAGATTAATAACGAACAAAGGACAAAATTAATTTATGTACAGAAAATATTCTAAATGCAAATTAATATTTACTAGAATGTAATAGCGCTGTAATTTAATGATCATACAGATATCTTCCGGGCTGAGAATGCAATACCTATTCAGGGACATACCAAGACCTAAAAACTATCTCATAATTTCTCAGAACAGATTGTTCCACAGAGATTGTTTTACACGTTGATAATTAAAGCCTGCGTAAGTTATTTGGATATTTGTATAGGTAATTATGCTGTAGCGTAATGAAACATTTCCACTCTAAGTAATGATCAAAGCTAGATTAGACTGAGGTTTATAAATATGGCAATATTAAATAAAAATGTGCTTATCACATGCTTAATTATTCTTAGATGAATCTTAGACCGTCAAGCTTTAAGGAAAAGTTGTAGATAAAGCTTTTAGGGAAAAGTTGTAGAAGCTTCTTAAAATGAATTACACATTTCATTATTACGGCAAATAATATTTCACCTAGAATAAGAAAGGACTTCTTTTTTTAAGATATACTTCAGTCTAAGTCAGTTGAAAAGGTCCAAGTAGGCTCACGAGCTCTTAAACAATTTAAAACACAGTATTTCTAATTTATGTATTTAAATCGCATACAATTAGCTCAAAATGTTGCTTCCGGTTTTGTGAATCAGAATTATTAATGATTATGAATATTAAAATTAATTCTATTTAGTTGGTAGAAGAGATTTTATGAAATATCAAAAATAATAATGTAAACTTCTAGTTGCTGATGCTAAATGGCAGAAAGCATTACAAGGAATATGCACATCAAGAGTAGAGAATTACAGTGATGTGTATAAGTTAAAATATGTCTTAGAAATGTTGTGATCTAATAATGGTCGCAGGCATGGATTCAAAAGCTCTCACACGGGTCATAAACTCTTGGAAGTTATGGCAAATTTATTCTTAACTTTTAAATATCAGCACTCTTATCTTCTCTTCAACTGGTATTCCTAAGATTTGAAACGATCTTATCAAAAATAGGGAAAATGTAAATAAATTGATTAGCGCAAGTAGATACATTACCGACACTGATGACAGAATAGGAAAGATAGGTTTGGATAACGTTATCGATCAAACGGAAGAACCAATAAAGATTATCTGCAAGTAAACACGACCGGCTCTTAAAATAAAAACTTACCTTGGAAATCTACCTATCTGATTATATTTACTAGTGATAATCGAAAAGTTTTACAGATATTATAAATCTATAAATGTTTTAGCAGATTTTTATTTAATTTTACATTTGAACATCACAAAAACTCCGAATAACCTTACGAAAGTAGATTGCTTATGCGAATGTAACGTGAAACTTACAGTGTTCGAAGACGCTTTACTTTTACCACAAATGAATACTTGGTATAATTTGAAAAGGTTTAATAGAGTTGCTTTATTATGAGGGAAAAATTGGAAGAAGAGTGTCAAAGAATGTTTACTTCCTTTAACGAAGTAAAATAAGTCTTTTAATCGCCAAATTTTAGGATATCAAATTTCAACGGAAATACCAATTTTGAACGATCCCGAATCTATTTGGATGATATTTTTGCGTGACGGCTCAGGCGAAAGGACTCGTTTTTTCCAAACTGGAATGGTAAAATGGATTCAAAATTAACTTTTATCCTGGCATTTTTCGCACGTACTTACGCACGTATACATCTCATACATCTCAAAAACGATTAGCCATAGAAAATTTTGTGTATAGGACATCTAGTTGTGGGCCTCTTTTTTTTTGTTGCAGTCGGCAGTACCAAACGTATGTCTATACTCACCCCCTTACCGGGCCTTTATTTTCCAAATCGTTGTTCGCAGTCAGTATTTACAATTACAGAAGTGTTTTAAATGAAGAAGATATTAATCTTTTGGCAACGCCTAATTTAAAAAAAAAATAATATTAAAAAAAATAATAATCTGTAATTAACGAAATCTAACTTTTAATGCGGTCTCCCAGCTCCTGTTTTGGAAAGTTTTATACTCATTATGAAAAAATATAATTACCAGAAGTTTGACTCCCGTACGACAAAAATTGACCAGAATATTTAATTTCAAAATTTGCAGTTTTTGATATCATTTTCATCTTACCTTAAGAGATCGGTTATTCTGGTTAGAATAATTCAAAGAAGTAAGAAATAAGTTTAAATGAAGTGTAGTAAAAACTGTGCACAATTTTATAGGCCGTGCAAGGAAGTCATGTGGTGTCCACAGATTTTTACTTCCTTGTACGAAGTAAAGGAACACGAAAAATTTAGAGTATCGTATTTCAACAAAAATATTAATTTCGACAGTTCTGGAATCCATTTGAACAATTTTTTTTTAGTTTCATCTGTACGTACGGACAGAATAAAGGACTCTTTTTCTCACAACGAATTGTAAATTGGTTCCAGAAGAGATTATTTCTTGACGTCTGTATGTACGTACGTATCCATGGATCTGACATAACTTAAAAATGAGTCGCCGTAGAACTTTGAGTTTTTGTATATGGGACTGCTGTAACATCATATGACATATGGGACATATGGAAATGCTGTAACATCAACCTAACGTTTTCGTTGCAATCGGCCTCACCACACTTACCACACACACCTCACCACACTCACACACTATATTCCCATTAGGCGAACTCAGCTTTTTTATTCTTATATGTTAGCAAATTGTGCAATTTTTGCTTTAAAAGTGTTTATGTTGCTTTTATGTTCCGGCTTAAGGTTTTTATGTCTTTAGTTAATCTGCATGCAATAGTTGTAGAATTATGGACATTTTGAAAGTTTAAGTGGCGGTAGGCCTAACGACCCCGTCATTTGTTTACATTTAAAGCTTTTAATAGAATAGCGAATTAAGTCGGTTGGTGCACGAATTTCAGTGTCCTATTGCACAGTGGCTCTTATATTAACTGTATTTGGTGTTTTTTTAAAAGTTTTAATGAAGATGTTTTGAGTTTTAATGTATTTTTGCGTTGCGGCATAGTGAGAAATGAATCGATTGAATGAGAAATATGTCTTTAATAAAATTTGAGGAAATAAGTTTAAATGAAATGGAGCGATAATGTGCATAATATGTACAAAGAAGTCATATGATGTCTACAACGGATATTTTAAATGCTAATTCTAAAAAATTCTTCATAGGTAGCTACTCACCATGCGCTACATTATTGATGCAATCGAGGTACTGTTTACCATTCTCATCATACAAATACTGCCCTTCACCTCTTACAATTTTCAGAGGATCTTCTTCAAAAAAGAGTGTACATGATTCCCTGTAAGTAAGAAGTTCCATGAGTCGCACATCCATTAGCAACGGCTACATCAAGCACATAATAGCAATTGCTAACAAGTTCAGAGGTATCAACAAGCAAGATATACATGTGGGAAATCTATATTTTTTCATTTTTGTGGTTAAATTAAAAAAATTAAAGAAACATTAAAAATATTATTTGCACAGAAAATTTAAAATATATTTCATAAAGGTATACATATGAAACGTTTAAATTAAACAATGTTAGCTTTCGAAAATTTTAATTTTATAAGCAAAATTAGTAAAAGAATAAGTTTTCAATAAAATAATATAAACTTTAAGATGTCACTTTTTAATTAGAAGTAAAACAAAAATTAAATAATCAGAAAAAATGAGAAGATATATTGGATCTTTTATAAAAGGACGGTCTTCATCAAAATATTGTTTTTTACGATTACTTGTGAATTTGAAACAAAGTATTTATTGATTAAAAACTTCTAATAAATTCAAGAGGAAATATTTTAATGCATTACCAAAGTCTTTTTAAGGATGGTCTTCATTAAAATATTGTTTTTTACGATTACTTGTGAATTTGAAACCAAGTATTTATTGATAAAAAACTTCTAACAAATTCAAGCAGATATATTTTAATGCATTACCAAAGTCTTTTTTGATACTAAGTATTAGTTATGCACTGTATTTCTTTTGTCTAACACTCATTACAAAGCCTTTTATTTAATATATATCTGAGTTGATACCTCTTTAAAAGATAAACTGAATACAAAACACAACATTCATTGTTTCATTTCTATCCACTAAAGTATCTTGAAAAGTTTAAAACATTCCCATAACTTCAATGAATTTGAAATGTGAATCATCTTGAGATATCAAAAGGTACAGGATATTGGAGGGGAAGGCAGAATTAGTGACAATTAAAAAAAAAACTGTTAAGTGTGCAAACCGCAATTTGCAGTGCAAAATATTGCATAGTGCAAAAGTCGTGATGAAGAATTTAGCATAATGATACGATAGAATCTTTCTTCAGCTGCAAGAAGAACAATTCTGTGATGCAAAAGCTTCATTGCATGCAATTCATTGTTAAAACAAACATCATCATTCCATGCATTTGAATCAAGGAGAAAGTGTTATGTGGAGTAGAATTCATTTGAAATAGTCTTTCGAACCTTGATAGCTCGTAATTATATACAAAATATTTATTTATGGAAAAGGAAACATAAAAGATAAAACGGTTTCATCAGCTTCTCAGGCCAAGAAAGGCGTTCAATAAAACGAACATTAATGGAAGATCCATTGTTTAAACATTAAACACAAATAAAAGAAATCCGAGACAGCATTCGACAAACTGATAGCTCAGCAAAATATAAAAGTTACAAATATTTTGCGAGTAACCGAATTCAGAAATTAAGCGACATTTGTAATACGTTGAAATATAGATGAAATGATGCAAAAAGCTATCAGTGGATTGAAAACACTGTGCAGTTCTTGAGCTAACTCATCACATTTTATAAATGATGCTGAGATTCTTTAAATGATCTCAAATACCAAAGAGGAAATGTAATTTTTGGACTAATCAATTAAGATTCCCCATTACCCTTTCAAACATATATAACATACTTTCAATCATATATAACATTCTTGTAAAGAGAAATAACACACTTCTTTATACAACATATAAGTTACTCTCCTCTAATCGAACTATACATTCCAAGGATGGTCCTAATTGCTTTGATTGTTAAAAAATAAATAAGAAAAATCTAATGAACATAAATGGGTTACATTGATTTCTTGAATTCCTTTCAAGAGAATTCCAATGAAATCAGTTTTTAAATTTTTAAACAAACAGAAACATGAAAGGAATTATATTTCACACTGCACATCAAGAACACATGAAGAAAGGTGTAACATTACCTTCCCCTCGATGATGATTAGAAGAAATGGTTAGTGGCCTGTGTGACGTCTTTAAACAGCACAGGCCGGGTTATTAAGGGGAAGGACATGAACATTTTTTTATTCTGTATTTTATAATATGCTTCTGCAATGTCACTATCTTCGCTGGGGATAGCTTTTGAAAGTTTATGTTTTAGAACCCTTACTCTTCTTAAAAGAGTAAGGTATTCTTCTGTGAATTCTGGAAGAGGAAATAGGCTTCTTGTCCTCGTTCGGCAATGACGATGAAGGATGTCTTCTTTTTCCTAAAAAAGGACTGAAAAGAAGTGTGGCCATTAGTAAGGTTTCGTATGGGGCAGCCATCCATAGGGTGGCCAAAAGCTAGAACAAAAATACACCTCAAACACAAACACAGTTAAAAAAAAATTAAAACATACACGCGATCGTGATATTTGAGATAGCGTGTTTTCTGAATTTGTTTGCGTGCACCTGTGTTTGTTGCGAACGAAAAAAAAGGCTTTCTCCTTGGAAACTGTTTCCTTTATTTTACAATGACTGTGACCATAATATCGTTCTATTCCATAACTATTCTCAAAACTTTCTGCTATTTCACGTTTCAGAAAACTGCACGAATCCTATTATTCGTTCCTATGGAAATGCATTTTACTTTATTTATTGATCTATCGCCTTTAAGTACGGGTCATATGATACTGACGAATGAATAAAACTAAAAAAATGTCCAATAAAGCGACAGTCTTTCTCTTACAACCAACTAGAAAAATTAACATTTCATAGAAAATAAATAGCATTACTACTAAACAACACCTCTGTTATGCGATCACCTTTCACAAAAAACCAAAACTGTCTGGGACCCTACGTGATCGTCTGCTTGAAATTCGCTGTATTTCATATTCTACTTGCTATATACATTTGCTAATGTCATTTAGTTGATAAAAATTTACACATTCAAGTTTTATTACAAAGTTTTTAGAGATTCTAGGATAAACACTAGAGGAAATATTTTTAGTAAGACTATTCAATTATTGGCTTATGTAGATGATATTTGCGTTGTTGCCCGTATTATTCCTGTTCTTAAACAGGCATTGTAAAAAAGTGCAAAAAGATTTAATCGCCTGTTAACGTGAATAAAAAGTAAATATACGCCTAAAATCTGACTTACCACTTAGTCATTTAGGAATTAGTAGCTATAGATTTGAAAAGGTCTGCAGTTTCATTTACTTGGGAGCTAAGTTAAATTGTAAAAATGACATAACTTCTGAAATACTTAATAGAATCTCTGCTGCAAATAGATGTTTTCATAGTTTGAAGAGTTTTTTTTTTAATCCAACTTTCTCAAGTTAAAAACTAAAATACTTCTTTACAAGAGTCTTGTAAGATTTGTCCTGACATATGTTTCGGAAGCTTGGCGGCTGACTTTACGTAATGAGGAAGCTTTGGGGATTTTTTAGAGAAAGATTTTGCCTCGTATACTTGATGAAGTCTTCCATGTGAATGGATAGAGGAGATGAAGATCTAATTTATAGCTATATAAAATCTATGGACAAATTGATATAGTATATAGTTCTTCAAACTACAGAGACTTAAATGGGCTGGTCATCTGGCCAGAATGCGTGAAGATCGGTGTTGTAAGAAAACATTTCTGGTAAAGCCCATGAAAACCAGATGTAGCTGTAGATCGCCAGTGAGAAAGAACGATTGCATTGAAAATAACCTCAACATTCTAAAGGTCGAAAACTAGAAACTATTACCAGAAGCAGCGATCCCCTGGAGAAACTTCTAGAGAAGGTCAGGGTCACCCTGGTCTCTTGAGCCAATGAAGAAAAAGTTTCATTTCACGTCATCCATTACTGTAATAATCTAACGTTAAAATTCTCGGAATAAACACACCAACAGCATTGCAAAACAAGCTTTCAATCAAAAAAACATGATATCAGTTTTTGTTCATAAATTTTTCCAGGGGTAAATTTTAAGAATACTTCATTTAAAGTAATTTTTACATTGCACATTAAGTTTTTGAAAAAATTCTCTTTTATTTAAACTTACATGTCTCGTATCTTTAGATTATAATATTTCCTTGTTACAATCCTGCTGTATGTGCCTCTGTTTCGGATATTATTTAACTATCGTCTGACATCACATATAAAGAATGTTGCTTCGGAAAAATACGTCCGTTATCAAAATGGTGATTCCACAGCAGATGCTGAAAGTAGTCAGTGCGTTTCCAGAGTACGTTTCCAAAAAATGATTAAATCTGAACCGTACAATCAGTCGAAGCGACAGTTTTCAATTTTACAGAAAAATATAAGGACAAATGACTGCTGAAAATTAAAAGAATATTATTACAAATAATAGTAATAATAATTTTATAAAACTTACATCTAGACTTAATGTGTGGTTAAATAAACGATTTTATTACAAATGTACATTACGTAATTTTCATTTAAGTTATATATTCATGAAACTGTTACAAATATTTACATTTTGTGTGCTTACCCTTTGTACTTCTCAATTTTGCTCATTGTCTACGTAATTTGTTGACTTCTTATTTAACTGAATGTAATTTGGTACTGCAGAATAAAAATTTTAATTTTACTACTAAACACATAAGCATATAAATAATTTTAATCTATTTAAATATTCGATTTTTTTTTCATTGGCTTACACTTCTTTCAGTTTAACACGAACGATGTATTCTGTGTTTTAATGAGGGAACACCATCTTTCATGTTCGGGACTGAAATGGAAATGATTATGATTTAAAAAACTTTTACATTTTCTAAAATATGAAGATGTCATATACTATAAAAAAGAGAAAAACACGTAGTAAATGTTATTTGACGTAGAAAGCAGATTCACAATAAAAAGGAAGAATTTTGATTGTGTAGAATGCTAATCCCAAATGAATAGGAAACTTGGCAGTCAAGGCAGATTAAATTCCATTTTTATTTAAATTCACATTTGTGGCTACAATTCACTTGGCACTCTAAACGTTCCTATTTCCAAAACATTTACACTTTTAATACTATTGCGAAAAGAAGAGAGCACAGAGAAATGACATCCAAGCAGCAACAGATATACAAGCAATGTGCGCATTTATCCAATATGGAAGATCGCTAAGAGGAAGGTTTTGGTTTAGGTTAGAAAAGTTTCAGTTATCAAATTTTGAGTTAAAGTTCAGAATGAGCTACGTCAACAGCATCACGCAAGCTCTGTGGCATAAATTGATGTAGAAAGGGCGCAGTCAGGAAAGTTATTACTACTTTTGTGAATACAAAAAGGAAATCCCAAATTAAAAATGAAGAAGTAAGAAGCTATTACAAAATTAAATTATAAAGTTGATTTACGTATTTTTTTTATCTTACATATTATATGCAGTGAAAAAGACTTAGCAATATTGATGGCGTAAAATGTTGAAATGTTGAAGTTCCGGTGAGTTCCATACTGATAAATTCCAGTGAGGATTTTAAATAAACCTTTTCATCAGATTTGAATTAAAGTAGAAGGCATCACTTGTGCGTACATATGAAACCCCCTCCAGCTGTGGGTAATAAAATAAGTTGAATTTAAAATTTGCAGTTATCGTAGCCGGAGATTAGTAGTCCAAAGGGGCTTTGTCCGTGAAGGACTATTGTTTTCGTTTTTCGATTTTGCGTTGAATCACTATAAATGTCCCTTTCACTTTTCAAACTGTTGCCACCAAATGTTTGAGTCCTGCATTATATTTGAAGAAATTAAATAATGAAAAATCTCCATAAATGTATGTATATTTCTTGCATTGTGATAAAACAACGGTACATAGAGCCATCGAATTTTGAATGATGTAATCCTCCTACGAATATGGGCATATGGGAGACCAAATTTGAAATTTGGAAATTTTTTTTTATGATCGATTTCATATGTTGTAAAACTTTAAGGAGTTTTTGAGTAACAAACTCAACGATTTAAAAGCGAGCAATGGCAACACTCTACGGGGGGCAAAAACCTTTTTATCTCCAGCGCGCGGAACTGTGTATCGGAAATTCTAAAGATATGCTCATTTTAAAATTATTTTACGACATTGCTATTGAACTGAATTTCATGGTTTAAGTGTAAACATGATATTTAATAAATAAAGGTAACACACAAAACGTTAAAAAAACGCCCCTTTGGACTTCATTTAAAATCGGGAACCTTACAGATTTTTAAATTTTTTTTATATAAATATTTTCTAACTAAGCTGGCTTAACTTTAATGTCGCGATCTAAAGTCAGCTAGTAAATGGTTAGTGCCGCAATATTAACAGACAGAGTTGGGAGGTAGAAAATAAAGATGCAAGTGGTCGCTGCCAAAAGCTCAATAACTAAAACATTGAAAACCTTTCCCGCCTTAAATAACTCTTTAACCTCATTCGCATCCTGGTAATAGCTAACGGAAAGGAAATGTTATAATACAGATAGAAACCATAAAAAATGCTTAATAAACGTAAAATAGATTAAAATTTGAGAAAAATTCATAGCAATATTTCTAATTGTTAGTTAAGGTTTTTAGTAAAAATTTAAGCAAATTTTCCCCTTTAAATAAAGAAGCATTATTAATTCAAATTAAAAGTGGAAAATGTTGATTAACTTATACTGCACTAACCATAACAAATTTAATAAGATAAATTTAATAGGAAACATTTTCTAGGCAAAAATTTTAGTATCAACAATTGATTTCAAATTAATTTTAGATATAATAGCGTCCATACGAGATCATCACGTCATTTATCAACATTCTACTGACCTTGAAAGTCGGCATACATAACAAGTTTCAAGGAAGAACTATTGCTTTAATAACAATAAAAACTATAACTTAACAAGGAAAATTGCATGAAATAATGACACGAATGTAAAAGGTATATCTAAAGTTATTTTAACTAAAACGCCTTGAAAAGATCAACTCCTAGCACGTGATATAGAGATATTTGATTATATTAACTTTTTTATATTTTTCTCTAAATTGTGCTTTTAGCGTTTGAACATTTTTTTGACGGATTGCGGTATTAATAGCATGTAACTTCTTTGCACATTCATTCAATGCACATTTAAAAAATAGCAATCTTTTCGCAAATAGCGATTGTTTTGTTTTTCGTGAATGTGTTCCTCTCATCCCCCCATCCATGCATTTTTCTCTTGAAATCTTTCTTAGAATTAAAAATAAGATCAAAAGGGAAAAATTTTTAAATATCACCAGAATAATTTTTTAAAGACATATTTTTGTTAGTTTATTTTAAAGACATATTTTTGTTAGTTTAACTTTCAATAGCATTTCCTATGTTAGAGGTAACACCAGTTGCATACAAATATAAATAACAACATACGTTTTCGAAGTACTGAAAATAAAATAAAAAAATTGAGGAAAACTATCACCGCAAATACAGCCCTTTTTAGGATAAGAAATATTCAGATATTTCATATTTTAAGAAATTGAAGGTTTGTCCTTTTCAGCTTCTGAGTTCTGATTTTATATGTTTTTAAATATTACCATAAGATATAAAAGTTTTATATAAATGACTGTATTTTCTGTAATATTTATATTTCTATGCAGGATGTATAGAACTGTAAATGCTGTAAGCAACATTGAATTAAATTAAGATATAGAGATGAAAAGTAAATTGATATAGGGATGACAGCTATAATTTTGACATAGAAGATGCAAAATCTTTGGACATAAAATAGTACTTATATATTTATTTCCCTAATAATAGATGTTCAATCAACACTTTATAAGGTATTTTCTCCCTTCTTCCCGCATGCCTTTATGGTGTAACTGGAAGTACACTCGTCGGTTATTCGTCCGCAATTCGAACCCAGCTAGAGCTCTGCGGATTCAGTTTCCTGACATTGATATAAATGGGAAGATTAAATGTTTCTGCCCAAATGAAAATTAAAAAGAAAAGTTTAGAAATAAAGCAGTTGATACATATTTATTATTGATTCCTTTATTCGAGTGATGAAGAAACAGTCGAAAGAAAAGAAATGGGAAAGAAAAGCACAACAGAAAAAGACAAAGCCATCTAATATTTTTCTCGTTGTTTTGAATAAAAGTAGACGAAAATACTATATTGGAAAATAACACATTTTTCTTGTTATGTAAAGAGATTTAATAAGTAAATATATAATAACACCTAACATGTGGATTACGGCAACAAAATGATGAAGTTTAAAATAGTACTTGTTTTTTTAGATCAGTTATATAAAATTTACTAGTTAAAAAAGTACAGTTGAACATAAAGAATTTTCAGGTGCAAGAAAAAATTTTTGGCAATAAGATCACCAATTTTCGATATAAAAAACTACGTGCCCAAAATGTGGTGATAAACCTAAAAATAGATCGCATTATTCTGACCTAGTCAGTCATATGTTAGGTACTACCTTAGTGTGACGTCAATTATGACCGATTTCTGTTAAGATCCTCGAGGACTAACTGAAGGTGACCTTGTTTAATACATCAATGAGCTCAAACAAGGGGATTTTGTGCAATGAAGATCAATGTCTGAATTATTTCATAAAGTTCTTAACTTCTCCACCTTTTTCATTTACTAAAGTCCCTCTCCCATACTCAGAAAACTGGATTAGTATTTGCGTATTTAATTTAATTTTTGGTTAACGAGTTCATTAAGAATATAAAGAGAGGACGAAAGATTTTAGGCTGAAGTGGTGCCAGATTATTACGACTTTTTAGTATCACCGAAAGCGACACTTATCTATATAAAATTAACTGTCAAACTGAGGCTATTTATTATAAGCTATTAACGATACATTAAAATTTAAAATTAAAATGGACAATGAAGAATACAGGAAAAGTTCTTTGATCTAGGTAAGAGCAAATTTGTTTCCACTAAATTTATTTTATTTTTTAATAAAATTTCGCATTTCAGAACGGCAGAAGCGGAATCAAATAATTTATATATTAAACTTGAAAATAAGATATAAATATATTTTTTCTGAATAAATTTAATTTTCCGTAATATCTGACCATTTGCGCCGCACATTGAAGATACAGAGAGAATCTTAGAGGCCAATGTTTTAAAAATGCCAAATATAAAAGATGATCATATGAAGCATATTTTGGAAATATGGGCATAGTTTTTCAAATCCTGTACGTCAAATGTGATATTTCTCTTCAATCATAGATTTGATATTTATATATCTAATCTATATCTGACTATAATATAATAACATTTCACAGTGAAAGGAATTGTAATAACCTAAAATTGTATCTTATTTTTCCTTCTTTCTGTCATATAAGTGATATTCTAGTAAAAATACTGAGTTGATAGTTACAGCGGGTAACAATTAAAATATATATAAAAAAAAAATAAAAAAAAAATCTGAGTTCAACGTTTCAATCATTAAAAATCCCTTTTGATACGAATGCTTGGGAATGCATACAATGGCACAATCCTTTTATTGACATACTTGGAAGAAAAAAAAATAGCAGGAGTATGTTATCAACAGCAAAAGGAAATGTTCCTATCTTTTATCTCAGACAAAAGAACAGCTGTTATTGCATCATGGTTCTTCTAAACGTAGGGTTCAAAAAAAAAAAAAAAAAAAAAAAAAAAAGGAACGGATTTCAGGTACATTTTCCTACTTCATCTCACAAAGTAAAGAGGAACCTTTCTCGTCTAGAACATCATATAAAGTTATAAAGTTTTCTGTTTCTCTTCAGACGTTAGTTGATTTTTGGAACTTGAACTTCTTCAAGGACGGGTTATGCGGTATGTGTCAGAAAGAATAGCGTCATAGCTTGTCAAAGATAAATTTAGAAAAAGAAACACGCGGGTTCCCTATAATCAGGACGCGGGCGAATTTGGATTCAAACCTTTTCAATTTGCGCGATCTGATGAATTAATGACACAATCCCCCCAAAAATCTTAATTTTAATTTTAAAAATTAGTTGAATTCTTAACAATGTTTTGTAACTTCCCAAGGGATTAAAAAAGGTAAAAGGTTTTTATTTAACATATTATATCTGATATTATGACTTGTGAATCTAATCCAAAGAAGAATTTTAACTCCAAGACTTTATTAAACCTCTTTATTAAATTAGTTGTTAGGAGGAAGACAGATAACTCATATATAAAAGAATACCTAAACATCTATGATTTTATACAAAAATATACATTTAGGACTCATATTATTTATGCTATATTTTGATGTTTTGTGTTTTTTGGCATGTAAGCATGATCATAGCACGCAATTGCATAAACATTATGTGATTTATAAAAAACTTGTTATTTTTCAGGAATATTTCCAAAATGTATTAGATAGGGAATATTAAGAAAAATTTCTATAATCTTTCTATGTATGTTTTAGCATCATTATTATTAACTTAAAATGCAAATTGTCTAATGTTAGGGACAAAAATTGCTAAATTTATGAAAGATTTTCTTCTCTGAACTCTTTTACTTCATCAGGTATTTAAATTAAATAACTTAAGAATGATAATTTTAAGAGATAATAATAGCACTTTAAAAGGCAGGTAAATTACTTTTGGAATTAGCACATTTATTAGGGAAGGAAAGTGATATTCTTTCCGATACACAATGGATATTCTCGAGGCGGCCATATCCGTAATTTCACTTCTCTAAGACGACCACCCCTACGGAAAAACAAAAGTGTCTGGAACCATGGACGGCCGTTTCGGAGAAGATTCATTCTGTGGATTCATTATACTTCTGTTTTGTATAACTGAATAAGCCTTTTTGCTTTATTTCTATGCTGAATGTACAATTGTATCAAAACATTACTTCTGCAGGTATAAGATTTTTTTGGTTTTTATACACATTAAAATTGTTGTTACATTTATTTATTTAGTTATTTAATTATGTTTTAATCTTCCGTTAACAGTTGAAGTTGATAGTTATTACTTTGCTTTCTTAATCTGCTTATGAAGAAACATTCTACAGAAATTTAAATTTATTACATTACATTTTAGATTTGAAATTATATATTATAACTTTCAATACTAGGAGAAGACAAACAAAATTGTAGGTCACATAATTTTGCAACGCCTTTACCAGCATTTTCTTTTTAAACGGAAAGATATAACGGAAGAATTCAGGAAAACTAAAATATGCAAAGGGATAAGATAAGGAAATGCAACATTGCATTTAAATTGCAATGAATAAAATGCAAAACTCTAAATATAAGAGGAGTTCTAACAAACTTCTCTAACAAATATTCTCCTATGAAATTTTTCTAATATAAAATACAGGATCGTGTTGAAAGAGATATAAGAATATATATATACAGAACTATAAAGTTTCAAATTAATCTTGTTTAATTTTACTACCATCTTGATTAATATAAATTTACTGTAATCATGATTAAGTTTTTGACGGCTGGATGTGTTTCTCATAAAACATACAGTAAAACTATTTAATTTGAATTATAAAAAATGTGAACTAGCTTATCAATTTTTAGTGTCATTTTTATGTGTGTCTTTAATTTAGAACACATGTGACACAATTTGCGTTGTCACAAAAACAAATTCGTAAATCGCAATCTCAATATCACGACGCGTTTTTACCACAAATCAACTTCATCCAGACGCACCGTTTTATAACACACATACAACCACTCATAACGTAGCATACAAATTGCGAATTCAAATAAGGATTAATAAAAACAGAAACATAAAATTTCAGGCACTTAATTTCAATGTATGTCACATTTCAAAAATTCACTGCAAATATTTTGCAACATCAACAGTGCATTCACACAATGCTTATTTTACTATGAATGAACTATAAAGCAGGCATACCATTAAGAAAAACAAAAAGATCCAACAAAGCGTGCAAAATAAAATATTATAATTCTGACAAACCCGTAAAAAATTACGGGTAAAAGTGTAAAAAAATGCAAATGAATGAAACATAAATAGTTATTTACCCAATGTAGAGTTTTCTAAGGCGAAGAGTTTCTTCTCTTGAAACTTTTTCCAGAGGACCGACAGACATTTTCGTTAAAAATTAGCTAGGAAATGCTAAAATATTACAACGAAAATAATATTTTCAGAATATGTTATGCGAGAAGTAGTGGCGTATTTATAGGCCAACCGCTCATTGCGGAACAGTGGGTTACCATAGAGATAAAGTATCTTGGCGACGCGGCGAGTAATAAAGAAGCCAAAAAACAGATAAGCTCTCCAAAGGACGATGAGGATGGATAATCGGTAATTGGCAATTGTTATTTTTACAGGTCAAAATGTAATCATTTTCTTCGTGACAGATTGCTTACATTCTTGACTTTTTTTTAACATTCTTTCGGACAGATAAAAAGATACTACGCTAGCAGTAGTTTTATAAATTTTTATTTGAATAATACTTAGATAACATTATTCTGTTATTCTTCTTCTTATTATTACTGATATTATAAAAAATTTTTCTGTTAAAATTTTTTTAAGAAATAAAACCTGTTTGGCAATATATTGATTCAGAAATGTGCATTCTTACTAAGTAAAAATATGCGCAAAATTTATTCTTTTCTCAATATCGCTTGCAAAATATAAATATTTATGAAAAAATAAGGCGCGTTTTTAATTCGAAAATGGCAAAATGTCGTTGCACATATCTTCCTTAGGATAATTCTAGTGTAATATAAATATGACCAAAATACATTTTGCGATATAAGCGAGATTGTGCGATTCTTGTTGTCGAAGCCTATTCTTTTGCAAAAAACTAAAAATCCAAAATTTGAAAAAAAAAAAAAAATAGCTGTGGCAATTTACTGTAACATAAATAAAAAAAATCTGAAATGTTTCAGATTTTAAATTACGTCCAAAGGGGCGTTTTTTTAACGTTTTGAGTGTTACCTTTATTTATTAAATATCATGTTCTTTGCACTTAAACCATAAAATTCAGTTCAAGAGCAATATCGCAAAATAAGTTAAATTAAGCAACATCTTTAGAATTCCGATATACACAGTCTCGCGAGCTGGAGATAAAAAGTATTTTTTCTATATAACGTTGCCATGTTCTCGCTTTAAAGCATGAGTTTGTAAATCAAAAATTCGTTAAAGTTTTACAAAAATAAAATCTATAATAAAACAAATTCCAAATTTGGGATTTCAGATGCCCATATCGCAGTAAGGATTTCGTCATTCAAAATTCGGGCTCTATGTACCATTGTTTATCACAATGCGAGAAATAGACAATCATTTATGCAGTTTTTTTTTTTATTTTTCATTATTTAATTCTTCAAATATAATGAGGACTCTAACATTTTGGTGGCAACAGTTTGAAAAGTGAACCGACGTTTATGAGTCCGACGCAAAATCGCAAACAAAAAACAATAGTCCTTCAGGGACAAAGCCCCTTTGGACTAAAAAAAAAAAAAAAAAAAAAAAAAAAATTTAAAATAAGTATTTGTTAATTAGAAATAAATATTTATTATTATTTATAACTACTGTGTGGCGATTTATTAGTTTTTCATTATATTACTCTTTAATATGTTAAGCGTAATGCTATGACTAGTCGAAAAATTTCATTGCTATTCGATGCCAAAAACGGAAAAGGAACTTTATGTTAATTTAAATAGCTTGAATTAAGTATTAAAGGGAGAGTTTAAGTATTTAAGTATTAAAGGGAGAGTTTGGGTTAGATTATTTAAACATTACAAAGATCACGGGAGAAGGGGAAGGAAGCTCTGATGAACGACTTTCTAAGGGAAACTGTCTGGTATTCACATTACACATGGAGAAAACCAAGCAGTCACACCGTTGTCTTGGAACCAAGCCCAAGTCAGATTCGTAGAATAAAGCGGACTTGACCATTCAGCCACTGCTGTGTTATAAAATGTTCGTATTATTGCATTACTATCCCATGCGGAATTTGTTGTTTATCTCATAGAAAGAAATCTACTGAAAATCCAAAATAACTCATTATTTTGATTGCATTTCAGGTTTTTGCTGCGCAACTTGTGTGGTTACAAAATTGCGGCAAAATATTTATAATTTAGCCAGCACAAAGCAGCAAATTCTAAGAAGCGCATAGATTGCACCGGGGGGGGAGGGGGACGTCTAGCGCTGCGTTGTACTAAAAACGCTCATTCAAACAATTTCGGAGACTTACTTTTATTTGTGAAATTAAAGTTCATTACTCCTGAAAAGTGTCAAGTTTTTTCATCTGGTATTAAGATTTCCCTTAACACTTGCAGACGTTTTTGAAGAAACTTTTTAAGAGAAACTTGCTTATATTTACGCACACGTCAGAAAATTCGCGAAAATATCCATGCAGCCAGTCCGTTCGCTAGGATTCGAAACCTTCTCGAGCAGTGTTAAACGGTGTTATTCACTCGAGTACTAGTGAGAAAATAATAATAATAATAATAAAACTAAATGTTATTTTAATTAATATGAATAAAATAATTCTCTATACCAATAGTCATTCCAGCAAAGTTTGCTAACAGACTTAAAGCGGAGTTTATGGTTTCTATCGTAAATATTATGAAATATTGTTAATCGCATAGCGCAATTTCTAATGTTATTCCTTCGAAATCATTTTACATTATCTTCGTAAGATGTTTTACACAATATTTTGGCTTTTTATTTTTCTTCTTTTATTTTGAAAAGTTTATTTATGATTAATAAGAATTTCTTCATCTCGGAAATTTGTAAGAGTTGTTTTAGAAAACATGTCTTTCTTCCGTTAGTCTCATAAGAATGCACATGGAGCTGAAATAGTAATATGGAGCTGACACTGGCCATCAAAATTAAAGGATAATGACAGAAATAAATCGTAACTGATTCTCAATGAAAAATGTTTGGCAGTTGATAATTCGCAAAATATTGAAATTAAAACCAGAATTCTGGAAATCGGAAAATGATGGGAAAATGAAATCACATTCTTTAATATGGTATATGCTCACCTCAGACAGATATGAATGCCTCACATCTTGATTTCATAGACTTTACCAAAGTGTTGATAAAGTGTTGTGAAATTGCACGTCACTTTTCTAAAAATGCACTTTTCAGCTCCTGAACAGTACGAAGAGAAATTTGGCGGGTTGAAATTCGGCGCGCTAAGTCATCCCACACATTCTCAATTGGGGTCAAGTCGGGTGAGTAAGGTAGCCAATCTATTCGAGTCATATCTTCTGCTTGTAAGTATTCTGACACCACATATGCTCGATGAGGCCGAGCATTGCCATCCGTTAACAAAAACTCTGGGCTACGCCACCCCTAAACAATCTAACTTGGGGTTCCACTACCTCGCCACGTATCTCCGAGCGGTTACAGAACTTCCTTGAAAGATACGCAGCTCAGTGAGGCCATTTGTCGTGATTCATCCCCATAAAGGAGTTGCGTGTTCCTTTCTTTCTCCAGATCAAAACACGTCTAGAATCACTGTTCAGACCAGAGGTGGGGAACTTTTCTACGATGAGAGACCACATTTAAATTAATCAGTGATAAAGGAGGCCGCATAATTTGATGTACCCATAAATGCGAGTTTTGTAAAATTATTTTAGTTTTCGTATAGTTTTATCACTTTATTGCATTATGTAGAAATATGCAAAAAAACTTCGTCATTTATTAAAATAAAATATTTTTATATTCACATAATCTATTATAAAATTAATCTTTAATAATTTTTAATAACCAACTATAAATATTTAAATAATGTTTCAAATAAAAATAATAAAGTAGAAGTATTTTTCAATAAATTTATTACATTATAAAGAAAAACAAAAGAAAAAGTTACAATATTAAGTTATAAAAAATCAACATAGCAACAGTATGAAAAATAATATTAAAATTCGATGGCAAATTTAATTTAGTGGGATGTTTGCATTTGTTTCTTGTCTGAAAGTAATTGAATATTTTCATCATGCTTCGGAAAGCGCAGCCTTAGTAGATCTTCTATATGAGCATCTGTAATTTGGGTTCTTAAACTAGTTTTAATTTTTCTCACGAAAGAAAATGTTGACTCACAGTAGTAAGTACTTACAAAGCAGGAACGTATACGATGTGCATGCTGTCCTAGGCATGGATATTCAACAGCATTTTTCCACGTTTCTATGGGATCCTTTTTAGCGTCAAAAAGAGATTTCAGAATTTTATCTTCCCGCAACTCAAATAACCCACTTTTCAGTTCCGTAGGAGTTTTGGATATATAAGTTTCATATCAGAAGTGTGCTTCTTATAATCTGAAAATCTTTCACTGCTTAAAAAATCCAAGAACCCTACACATTCATTAAATGTTTTATTTCTATATTTTTGTTCATTCAACAGCTTTGCTGACTCTGGGAAGTGTTCTGCAGATATATTCGAGCAAGAGAGCAATTTTTTTGAAAAACAAATGTCAATTTTCTTTAAACGCTTCGATCTTTGCCACATTTTATATATCTGCAGGCAAGTATTTAAACTGTTTAGTTTGGTCACAATATCAGACAAAAGTGCAATATTTCTGCAAAATACTTCATCTGACAGATCACATAATTTTCCTTGTTCTTGATAAAAGTTTAAAATTTGTCGTCTTAAAGTTAAAACTTTCATCAAAACCTGCCCTGTTAATTGCCAGCTGACATTGCAGTAGTACGGTAGAACACTGTACGGTTCCTAGTCTAAATTTAACATCTGCCGAAATTCACAAGGACGCATTGCATTTACAAGAATACAGATGACAATCGAAATAGTTCTATCCAGAGCGTCTTGCAAAACCGCCATTTTTGCACAAAGGTTTTGCTGATGCAAAGTGCAGTGAAATTATAACAATTATTTCAAGTTTTCCTTTTTTAATAAAGCAACAAGTCCTCCTTTTTTACATCTCATGGAAGATGCGCCATCGGTGAAGACACTGACTAAATTACCGACATTAAATTGTAATCGATGGCATATTTCTCTTGAAGTTTTCTAAAATGTCAACTCCGCGAATTCTTCCAGTTAGTATACCCAGAGCAAGAAGTTCTTCGAAACACTGAAAATCTTTAATTACAGAAAAAATAAAATATAAAACTTGCGCCGAGTAAGTTTTGTCAAAGCTTTCATCTAAAACAATTGAAAAATAAATATCTTCATTTTGGATAATTTTATGAAGTCA